ACCCTGCTTGAACTTTCACGGCATTCGCCACTGCCTCCCAGTCCCTTCTCACACTCTCCTTTGCTTCCACAGCACGCACCCTCTCCTGCTTCTCGTCGCATCTCTTCCCTGTGATGGTGGGTGTGCCCCAGGACTCTGTCCTTGGCACTCTTCTCCTCTCATTTCCACACTCTTCCTGGGCAATCTCAATGACTCCCTGATGCCCCATCGATGGCTCCCAAACCTCTCTCCAGGGAAATCCTCTCTCGCATTTCAAACCTATGCTTCTGTCCATGCAACAGTCCCTCGGGCGCTGCAACCTCCACAAAGCCAAAACTGAAATCATTCTCCTCCCAAATGGAACCATCATCCATCCAAGCCAGAAATCAGAGTCATCCTTAATTCCAGCCTCTCCCCCTACCTCACTGTCATGATCACATTGTCATTTCAACCTCCCGAGCACCACTAGAACCTATCCTCTCCTTTCCATCTTCACTGCCACTGCCTTAGTTCAAATTCCCATCATCTCTCTTGGGCTTCACTGCTCCAATCTATTAACCATTCTCCTGACTCCAGATCTGTCCTCCTCAACCTCCAATTCATTCCTTCCTTCTGCTTCTAGGGTCATCTTTCTAAATGTAAATCCTATTTTAATAATCCCCAGCATAAAAATCTTAAAAAAGTTTCCATTTGCCTTCAGGATTAAGATCAAAAAGCTGAACACTGAATAAAAGGCCCTCAGCAATCCGCCTCACATCAGAGCTCTCAAGCTAACCTCTCCACATGCCCCCGTCACTCCATTTTCATTAACCAGCAGGCTCTCTCAGAATCTGCTCTGAGACCTCTCGTGCTCCCCACTCTCACCCCACTCCTCCTCTGCTTAGGTGAATCATCCAACTCACCCTTTATGACGCAGCTCAAAGACCATCTCCTCTGGGAATCTTAGAAGCATTCTAGGTTCTCTGAACCCCACCGGCCATTACTCTGTGACAGTTCTCATCACACTGTATCAGTCACCGAATCACTGACCCTCTGTCGGTGACCCTTAAGGAAGGTGGTTCACATTTTCCACATCTCTGAATCACCACCTCTAGTAAAAAGCCTTAGGTCCAATGATGCCAAAAACAAATGATGACAGAGGTTGATGAAACAAAAACCTACACAGAAGTAGGCTTCATGTCCTACAGCATCAAGCCTCATCACATTATTTTCACATCATGCTTGGTTTTCCCTAATACTCTATTTCTCTGAATTGTAAGATGCTGTCAAAGATAAGATACATCCTAATTTCAGAGATGTTAAAAGGTAAAATATTATAGTCTATGAAATATGACACATTAAAGTAACATGAACATAAAAGCTTTATGTACTTAGTCATCAGACTAGAAAAGCATTTTAAAAATTCAAGTGTTGGAAAATAAACCAAAACTTTCTAAAATAACTCAAATAAAGGGAGCAGATATATGTTATCTTAAAATATTACAGTATTCTTCCTTTGAAATGTTCATTAAGGAACTGTTTGCTCTGCATCCTGGTCATGGTAGCTGGAACACAAATCTGTAGCTATTAAAATTCATAGAAGTGTAAAATTAAAGTCATGGAAAACATTTTTAAATGTCCCTTAAATATGACAGTCCTCTTAGGCCCTTCGTGGCCACCCATCCACCAAGCCTGGACTCCACCTCCACGGACCCACCAGAACCCAAAGATGACACTTGCCTTCTCTGACACTCTCACTCCATTCCAGGAGCAATGACTCTAAAATCTGAGATAACCTGTCTCCAGGCCCACCTCCCCACTACCTCCATGTCCCTGGCCAGGCTTCTTGCTGCTAATATAAGACCCTGTTCTCCCTCCAGCCGCTTCTCTCATCCCAACTCTCCCATCCCTGTTGCTGCCAGCTCAAACCCAGCCTCTCTCCTCTCTCATCCTCCTCCCACCTCACTCTATCAACTGTTTGTCCATCTCTTGTCCACTGGACCCTGTGAAATCTGGGCTCTACTGGGTGGGGAAGGGGAAGAGGGATTTACCTTTTGTCTTGAAACTTGTATTTACCTCTTCCCCAGGGCAGACAGGGGCTGCTTTGAAAGGTTAAAAACTACCTGAACATAGTAAAACACAGACCACCGAAATAATGAGATTTTCCTTGGAAAACTGAACAAACCTGAGTATTTGGAGGGGGTGGAGAGGCAGAGAGGAGTGGGATAAGCCTTGCCAGAAGCTTGAACGCGTACCAGCCCACACTTGCGGCTGTCTGTAAACCCACTGCATCCTAGAAATTTCCGAGCATGCTTCATTTACATGCCAGGGTGCCCAAAGTAATCTGAACGCAATCCCAGGAGGACCCATCTTATCCAACCAATCAACTAAATGCAAGGGATGGCTAGACAGATTTCCATAGACAATGTTTTAGGTCATCCATCAAGGAATACACATCTAACGTCTGGTACTCAGCCATGTCTGTATGTTTCATAAGTTAAGAACAAGTGCTAGAAAGAACTCTAGTGATCTTTTACTTTGTTAATCAGGAAATGGAAGCACAGACAGCCACCACCTAGTAAAACTTAGGAGACAAGCACGGAAGGTCATCCTCTTCAAAAAGACAAACTCCTACAAAGTCATGCTTCTCCCAAATGGAATGCCTTGTAGGTCCACTGATTCTCATTACATAATTGATTTGCAGTCAAACCTGCAGGGGAAAAATCAGTTTAGGAAATCAAGTTAAGCAGGGCAGCTGCCAAGATGTGAGACTGATTAAGATCCAGCAAGTGGAGGACTCAGGTGCTTGAGTACGAGACCATATACACGAATACCTCAGGGGAATAAGTGGTAGTAAGTCTGTAATAGGTTTGGCTGTCTGGCCTGTCTGCACGATGTCATGGATTCTTCAGCATTTCCTACAAAACATCAGTTTTCCCCATCAACCTCTAGGCAGTAAACCTCTGCCCAAGGCCTACACCCAGATCCCCCAGGGCACTCCAAGAACACTCCAATGGAAGAAGCCAAGTGGTATAAGGCAAGGCATTCCAGAAATCACGGACAGCTCGCAGACAACCTGAAGCTGTTCTTTGCTACCACTGGACCAAACAGTAAGTGCATTACTTCCTTTAGCCTTTACCCTATTCTCTATTCTCTTTTGTCCCCTATGATTCCCTTCATGTGCAATCTTCTTCCTGTCAACACAAATTCTACTTCTAACTCAGGGCCCTGTTTAGCTCCCACCTACATCCCCAAAGTTCTTTGGAAAACACTACTTGTTACCTTCCTCCCTTCTGAACACTACCTACCTCTTTCTTCAAACAGTATTACTCAAATATGTTGAATTATCTCCTTTGCGGGATTTTTTAAACTTTTTTTACACAATAGCTATTCTTGAAAAATTAGAAAATATAAATAAGGCAAAAGAAAGTCATCACCCAGAAACATTTATGTACATATCCCTCAGGTGTTTATGTTTGTTTTTACAAACTTAGTAGCACTCTGAATCTTCCACATAACGCCACCACGCCACATCAATATGTTCTTCAACGAAAGCATTGCACAGCTGCTTCATACTTCACTTGAAGCATATGATACAATGTACTTAACTCTCCTATTCTTATAAACGTGGGTAATTTCCTATTTTAGGCTATTACAAACAAACTTGCAATGAAGATACTTTCTTAAAATATATACATGTACACATCTGTCTGATGGTTTCCTTAGGATAAATTACTAGAAATGGAATTGCTAAAAGGCATGCAGCCCACCACAATCCCCCTTTTAGGCATTTTTATTCACACTGTCAATTTATCCTCCAAAAAGGTTATTTCAATTTATTCTCCTTTTTATTTACACATCATTCAAAAAATATTTATTTTGTGCCTACTTGTGCTAGGCACTGTTGACACAATCGTTATTAACATAACAGACATAGTCCCTGCCCTTATGGAGCTTACAATCTACAGGAAGAGAGAGACACCCACACCCACACCATCACAAATTCTCCATTACAATCTGAGGTAAGCTAAGAAGGAAAAGGACCGAGTTTTTTGAAGATCACAGGAATTTTAGAAGAACCTGAGGGGTGTGGAAGAGTTTCCATAGGAAGAATGGTTCTGTGCTGAGGCTAAGGTTTTCTGTTGTAAATCAGGTGAAACTAGGCAGCAGAGAATCATGGATAAAATACTCTAACCAGAGAGCAGTGTGGACAAAGCCCCGGAGAAGGAAAGGAACATGACACATTCAAAAAAACATAAGCAGCTCCCTGAGGCTGGGGCTCAGGGGTGGTGGCAAGGGTGAGGCAGGGTCAGACCACTCGAGCCCTCCAGCAGCAGTGGACTCCTGCACTCTGGCCAACCGGCAAGGCCAACATGCACTAGCCACAGGCCAGTCAAAGCCTCAAGAACTAACGACTGAACAATAAACTGTAAATCAGAAAAACGGATGTAAATAAACTTACCCTGAATAAGGAATGCACTTTCAATCTGTTCCAGGACTTTTAAGCATACACTGTTTGCCACATACTTTAAACAATACCAGCTAAATACGTGAGTTGAACAGTTGCTGTCTAAAATATCTGCATGCCCACGTAGAGCAACACACAGGAAAAACTCCTTGACTTTAATATATGATATGCTAAGACTGTCAATTAAAAAGTGTTTAAGAGCCAGCCCTGATGGCCTAGTGGTTGAAGTTCAGTGCACTCTGCTGCTTCAGCAGCCCAGGTTCCATTCCCAGGCACGGAACCACAGCACTGTCAGTAGCCCTGCTGTGGTGGTGGCTCACATAGAAGAACTAGAAGGACTTACAACTAGGATATACAACCAAGTACTGGGGTTTTGGGGAGGAAAAGAAAAAAGTGTTTAGGTTTGTCAGAGAAATTTCATATCCATATTTTATTTAATGTGAAAAACAAAAATGTTACTTAAGGTCCTACTCTGGAGAAAAAGCTATTCCCATAACCTTTCAATGACTGTAATTAGGCAAATTTTCTTTATTCCAACTTAGACTTTTCTAATAGAGATAATCTTCCACATAAATAAGAGTTAAAATCAGTGTTTTAATATTTTTTAAAAATCAAAAGGTAGAAGACAAGTATTCCTTTTACAGTGTTTTTATTTATCCATGCAGATATGCAATTATCATAATTTAAAGCACTTTTTTTGTAATTAATTAGACTATAAGAAAAAACTGTACAGAAAGTTTGTACCATAAAATTACATCCCTAAGTGATGAGGGTCCTCAGTACCAGAAAGAGAAAGCAACTCAAAAGGGTCACCGCCCAGCAACCTCTCAGAACTCAGAGGAGCAGAACACCATCAGCTATTTGTGAAAATGAAGAGATTCTGTAAAAATATCTTTCAAATACTCCCTACTACAAAAAGGAATGCCTATTAAAACACCACAGTTTATTCTGTACAAAACATCCCTTCTACCCCCTCAAAAGCTTTTTCTTTTTGCTTTAAGATAAAGAAAAGGCCATATCCCTTAGATACACTCTGTGAAAACTATTTCAGTACAAGATCCAATGTTTTCCTGTCTTTATTTACTGTCCTTACTGAAGTTACCTGCATGTTTCAGAGCAATTTTCTAAACTTCACTGTTGAGTAGCCTGTTCCAAAGTAGAATTCTTCAGCAATACACAATGCAAAAGACACACGCTAAAACAGTCCTCACAAATATACTCTGAAATAGGTGCCTTTGAAATATAAATGTAACAACTTTGCAGACCATTATTTTTCCTAATGACTAAACTCTAAGTAAAATTTTAAAATGGAGGTTTTTAAACCAATGATGTGTGCAGCCCATTCTCATGACACAGTCACTTAAACTTCTCATCTGCAAAACATAATGCAATAAATTATCAAAAGAACACGAAGCCCCACCTGGTTCACAAAATGAAAACCACATAAGCATTACAAAGCACGTAGTGCCAAATACTACAAGTTAAACATTTTGCTGGATAATCTTTTATCTCTTGATCATAAAAGTAACACAGGATCAATGCAGAAACTTTGGAAAATACAGACAAAGAAAAAAATTTTTGTAACTCTACCATTTAAAAGGAATTGTTAATATCTGGGGATTTTTCTTTCAGTATTTTTTCTATTATAAACAATAATAGGTTTAAGAAATACACATGCCTGCATACTTTTCTTGAACAAAATTAGGATATTTGCATTTTTATCTTTTGTTAACTTTAACTATGATACATTAAGTATCTCTGACTTTAAAAATCCTTCTAAAACATGATTTTAACAGCATATTATATGGATGTGTCATAATATATTTAACCATTTCCCTTTTTGGGGGCAGTTATGTTGTTTCCAATTTTTTGACATAAGAAACAAGACTGTCATAAAGATATTTAAAACTCATAACACTTCTCATTATTTTCTTAAGATGTATTTCTAGAAGTAGAATTACTACATTAAAAAGGAATTTGAGATGACCAAGAATCACCCCCCAAAAAACACAGCCTCGTTCTACCAGATTTTAAGCTATTCAAATTCACCAAACTTAGTCACATGGTATATATTTACAAATAAATTTTTTAAATCATAAAAAATTCAGTGTCTAAAAAAATTAGAAATAACAGCAGGAAATAGATCACTACTCTGTTTTAGCATAGACTCATGGAAAAAAATTAATTAAACTTACACCCCACACTATCTACTTTAATCTGTTCCAAACGAGTCAGAAAACACAGAATGGCATGTTAGTACCAGATAAGATGAAAAATTACCACAACTAGTTAAGAAAAAGGAAATATCAGGGTGACCTAAGCACAAGTACTTAGGACAAAGACCTTTCCTCCAATAAATTACAAATACTACAGGTTTCTCTCTCAGATGGCAATTTAAAGCCCGATTTTTTCCCCTTCATTTTAATACTTGATATCCACCTTTTAAAATTTTCTGATACAAATAAGAATTTTGTTATAGTAGTTCCAAAGATAACTGTTAGCTCTCAAAACTCAAGAAAAACACTATAATTTCTTAAAAATCCAAACCCAATACCATGAAATAAAATAGTGATGTTTAAAATTTCAAAATAAAGATAACTTTTCTCTCTTTCAATACTTACTCAGTATGGGAAAATTTTATTTCTTCCCTTTGTCTTGCAGAATAATTTAGGTTCCCATCTAAAATACAAATAAGCATAGAATCTTTTCACTACAGCTATCATAAGGAAAATTTAAACACGCACACGTGCACACACACACACTGGCACTGATATACCTTAAAGTAACAGAAAAGGTTATGGAAGATGAGAAAAAATAGTTGATCTCCTGGAACCAACACAACGAAAAAGGCGTTTAAGAATCCTTATACGGGGGCCAGCCCGGTGGTGTAGTGGGCCACCACACACTCAGCTTTGGCGGCCCAGGGTTTGCAGGTTCGGATCCCAGGTGCAGACACACACACCACTTGTCAAGCCATGCTGTGGTAGGCGTCCCACATATAACGTAGAGGAAGATGGGCAAGGATGTTATTTTTCATTTTATTTTTTTTTTGTGAGGAAGATCAGCCCTGAGCTAACATCCATGCCAATCCTCTTTTTGCTGAGAAGACCGGCTCTGAGCTAACATCTATTGCCAATCCTCCTCCTTTTTTTTTTGTTTTTATTCCCCCCAAAGTCCCAGCAGACAGTTGTATGTCATAGTTGCACATCCTTCTAGTTGCTGTATGTTGGATGCGACCTCAGCATGGCCGGAGAAGCAGTGCGTCGGTGTGCGCCCGGGATCCAAACCCGGGCCGCCAGTAGCGGAGCACACACACTTAACCGCTAAGCCACAGGGCCAGCCCAGGCACGGATGTTAGCCCATGGCCAATCTTCCTCAGCGAAAAGAGGAGGATTGGCAACTGATGTTGGCTCAGGGCTAATCTTCCTCACCAAAAAAAAAAAAAAAAAAATCCTTATATGGTACAAATAAATCACTCCTTAATTTTAGCATTTTTTTTTTAGTTTGGACTTACATATTGCTTCAAGTTTTGTTAACTGAAATAGTGTTAATATCCAGTAATAGCAAAAATTATGAGAAATTAAAGGAAATGACCTAAAATTATTTAAACAGCACATATATACATCCTTCTAAGTAAATAGAAGGGGCAAACAAGTTAGAAAAATTAATAAGGGTAACATCAAAATCTTATAAAGAATAAAGAAAAAAGCACAAATGCATGTAGTATATGTATTAGCAAAAGAAAAAAATCTCTAATTTCTCATTCTATACAAACACTTTTTCAAACTTAAAATGAAAACTGCAGCTATAAATTTGTTTACTTATTTTTAAAAATATTAGACAATAGCACATGAAGGGCTTTAGGCTATTTAAAAAATGCCATACTTCTTTATGCTAATATAAGAAGATCTAAAATTTTATATTACAAAATTTAAATTGACCTGGCAAGAAAGAACATGACCACAATTTTAATAAACGTGAAAGTCCAGAACACAAAATTATATGTTACAAAATGAAACGTGTTCCCATCACTATGAACGGAATGTCATTATTACATGAACTAAAGCACTGGCTTCTAAAGAGGCATGGAGACAATCCAGGGACCCCACAGAGGATCCACCCATCATTCTACTTACCTTGGGCACGATTCACCAAATAGAGTAAGACCACAGATAAAAGTGACACTGGAAGTGAAAAAACATAGGATCTTAAAAAACATGTACCTCTTCCCCATGATTCCTATGCGATCATAGTTACAAAGTAAAGCTTACACAAAGTCAAATCTTTATTAACTGTCATTTAAAAATAAAACACCACCTTCTTTTCCGAAAAGCACTGAAAATAACTTACAGACCATTTTCTCCATGGGCTACCTGAGCCCAGGGATGGCAAGGCCAGAAACAGAGAAACTGAGACTCCTACAGGAGAGGGGCCGGCCCGCCCCAGGATCGCCCCTGCCCCTTTCTCCTCTCCTTTTGTAAGCGCGGGCCCTTCCTGGCACCTCCCAAAAACCCCTGCAAGCCCCTATCCTGTTGATCTCTCTACAGAGAGCCAAACAGAAGTAATCCTTTGGGGGTTTTAGGTCTGAAAACACCATGTCCATTTTACAAATTAACCAAAATGAGAACATGGTCATTAGACGCCCAGAGCCAGTGAAGACCTCAGAAATCCGGTGCTTGGCTTTCTACCGTAACAAGTGATGCACACTTAATCTACTTTAAATTAATATAGCAACAAAAACATTTTTAAATGGCATGGTGTTTGATTTGAGAAGCAAATATATATGAAACTGAAGGACTGAATTAAACCAAATGTTGCAGCATCAAAAATAGACAAAAACACTTTCAGGACCTAGTATTTTGAATTCTTATATGACCCACTTGTTAAAAACAAATAATATATTTTTAAAATTGGATGTGCTTATTTCTAAAATTATGAGATAATAAAATGCATTCACACTATTCATAAGCAATTATCTGCAAATACCACATTTGAAGTACAGATAGTCTATACCCCCTGTAAATGAAATTAAGTCTGATAAAATCATCACTAGGGTCTGCCATTTTAAACACCTAATCAAAGTATAAAAGACATCTGATATATTATATGAGAATTTTTTTCAGATAAACACAATTTATGTGTATGGTCAAGACTATCAATGAAAAAATGCTGACTTATTTGTACAGTTTTCAACAGTTTCCTAATGCTTCCTATTTTCAACCAATGAATCATTACAGGTAAAAATTAAATAACAAGACTAAGAATGAAAACAATTTAAAACTGTCTAGTGAATAATCCATGAGCACTCACACCTAAATCACACCAACGTGTACACATTCATACCAGGGACATACTCAGGACCCTTCTAATGGTTCCACTTTAGGGGAAAATGTTCTTTAAAAACCATAAATATTTAAAACAGAATACAAAGCAGATTCCATTGCTGCCTTTAGGCATAGTAATCTCCTGAAAAATGCCTGTGAATCTTCAAAGAACTAGAAAGTCACCAGTGGGGAAACTGAGGCACAGGCTAAAAATTAGGCAAATCTGAGAGCTACACCTTACGGATTTGGTTTAAAAGAGGGTAAAGAAAACAATAACAACAAAAACCTAAAAGTATAAATGAGAACGTGCTGCTATGTATTAAAAGAAACTAAATGTTGCCACATGGCACACTTACAAGAAACACAGGCAATGAAGAAAACTTCTAAAAACAAATATCCCCGAGTATCCAATATCATGCCAGCAATGATGGAAACAATCGCCAACCCAAGGTTCTGAATGGACTGCATGCTACGATTTAAGAAATACAAAAACATATTTCAATTTCAAAAGTCTTTACACACAGACTAACAATTCAATATAAATAGCCATATCTAGAAACTACACACACACAGTGTTAAGAGATGTTTTCAGCCAGGGATGACCTGATTAGATTTTTATCCCATGACTGTTTATGCTACTAGACTTTATGCTCAAAGGTAAAGGAGCTTGTCTTATTAAGTGCAGTATGAACTAATGAAAGGAAGAGCTATGTGAATGAAAGGAAGGGCTATGTGAATACCAACCAGGGGTACAGTTTCCCCCTTCTGCCTTTTTGGGCCAGAGACCAGAACTCAACTTCTCACTGAGAAGCTCTCAAATCAACAGGCAGTGGGATGGTAATGTCAGCAATGACCTCTTACAGGTTAGCTTAACTCCAGACCTCCTGCTGGAGGCTTGGAATATTTTTGTTGCCACAATTATACCATAAATAGATTAACTGACTCATCCAGTTACAGTAGGTGTCCTTAACTGCAGGGGATACGTTCCAAGACTCCAGTGGATGCCTGAAACCACAGATAGTACCAACCCGACATATACTATGTTTTTTCCTATATATACATACATACCTATGATAAAGTTTAATTTATAACTTCAGCACAGTGAGAGATCAAGAACAATAACTAATAATTAAGTTTGCTTTGGGGCCATTATTAAGTAAAATAAACAGTTACTTGAACACAAGCACTGCGATACCTCAGCAGTCAATCTGATAACTGAGACGGCTACTCAGCGACTAACAGGGATAGCGTATACAGCTTGGATACACCACACAAAGGGAGGATTCATGTCCCGGACAGGACAGAGTGGGATGGCGAGAGATTTCATCACGCTACTCAGAATGGGGCGCAATTTAGAACTTAAGAAGTGTTTATTTCTGAAATTGTACATTTAATATTTTCAGATCACAGCTGACCACGAGTAACCAAAACTGCGGAAAGCGAAACCACAGATAAGGGGAGACTACTGTATTTTCAGGTTTAGAGCTGTCCCAGAAGCCTGAAGATGACCAGATTCAGGAAACATGGAGTTTCACATGATAATTAAATTGATACAGCAGACAGACATTACATGATCCATGGTGCAAATACTTACAAGCCATATGCAGTTCCCAGTTGATGCTCAGGAACTACAAATGCCACCATTGGCCACAATGCACAGGCAAGTAATGAATAAGAGAGTCCTAGGAGACACTACAGAAAGCAATATGGAAAAGGCTAAAAGTCTTATATTAACCAGAAGGTGATTTTCCTTTGATGCAGATTAGCAAGAGTGACTTAATAGCTAATATATGAATATTCATGCAAATTTTATTGCAATTAGGCTAAAACTCAGATTCAATAAAAAAAAAAGTCCTGGCCCTCTCTAACAACATGCCTCTAGTGACAAAATACACACACACAGTTGTAACCATTTTGTATCATATGCATATATACATAACTGGCCCAAGGTGCAGTCAAGGACCAAGCAAGGAAATAGAGCTAGTTTGCCAAAAGTTATTACCAATGTTTCAGGCAAGCTAATTCTCCAGTATTTATTAGGAATTACAAATTAAGCAATCAAGACAACACCACGCCAATGGTCCATTATCTTACCTCTGGGTCATCAACACCCAACTGGAGAGCAGGGCAGAAAACCAACCACCACCACTGGTTGTTAAACATCACCTAACGCTGACTTTTTCTTCAATTAAAAAAGAAACCTTATGATTTAAGTTAAAATAAGATCATTTACACCTGTGAGATTGGCAAAGATTAACATAAGGCCAATGTCCAACAATGGCAAGGACGCTAAGAAACAGACACATTCGTGTATTACTGGTAAAGTTTAAATGGGCAGAAGTTATTGGAGGAGAAGTTCACAGTATCTATCAAGATGTTACATGTGCAAAGCCTCTGCTACAGCATTTCAACTTCCAGGAAGCTTCCTACAGAATTCTCACCAAATGCACAAATATATATGTACATTCAAGATAATCTTTTATTAACAGGTAAGAAATGCAGCACTTCAGCCTGTGGTCTTAAAAATGACATTTTGAAGAATGATAACAAAAACTTGATGAATGCATTTTCACTGTTTGACCTACTAAGAGTCAAAGACAAAAGAATTCAAAATCATGGATATTGGGCCAATAGATTTTTTTTGTCACCTATGATGGAATGACTTTTAACAAAGTACAAAAAAAACATTGAACTAATAAGCATTTTGGCTTTTATAAGACTATTTCAAGTTCTATTTCAGCATTAAGGTCACTCTGTTAAATAAGACAAATGAAATTAAAAACACTTTACGCGTGAACAGTTAATACTGATACTTTAAAAATAGCTACTTTGTAGAAATTGAAATCAAGTTATTGTTTTCCCCACTGTCACAAGTACTCCATCTGAGGAGCCAAATGTGCTTCCCAACATGCACTTACAGAGTCCTCGCTGAAGCCCTGAGCCCCCCGCTGTCAATGGAGACATTACCATAGCAATCCAAGGGTTCCACAGTGTAAAGGCCAGCATCATGTGGGATGCAAGGGTGGCTGCCACTGCACACAGGACCCAAATAATGTTCTTTCCTGTTTTATCCACCAGGAGCCCAAATACTGGGGACATGGGAGCTGATATGACATACACAACACTGCCCAGAGAACATAAAAGATATTTAATAAAATATGTCACAGCTGAACAAAACCCCAGAAAGTCCCTAAAACCATTAGGCAAAGCAAATCCTAGCTCATTAATTTAACATTAGTCTAAAATGGTCATCAGTAAATAGCAAGATAAGAGCAGTCCAAGACTTCTTTGGTTTTCCATTAATACAGACGGCCACTCTAAGTCACAACACAGTTTTGGTTTCACACTTTGGCGTTAGGTCACGTACATCTTGTCTCTCATAACATTTGCTTATAATCAAAGACCCACACTACGCACACAAGCACTTACAGAATTAATGAAATACCTGTTAATCGCACTTGCTGCCTCAGAAGAAAATCCAAATTTCTCTATAAAGAAAACTCTAAAATAGAGAGACAGAGAGAAATAAACACTTTAGACAGAACTGCTGTTTTTAAAAAATAAAGGCAAAATAAAGCTGAATAAAAATAACTTTTCCTTCTTGATCCTGTTTTCCTACCTTATTTGATATTCATCTTCAATCAATCAGCTCAAGCTGTAGTGTTTATATAAAAACTTCACTAACTAAATAAAATATACTAATGCCTGCCTTTTTTCCCTTTTACATATACAGCAAACAGGACACACAAATTTTCAGAAAACCAAATGTATTACTATGCAGAATTAAGGCTGCTTCTTCTCCTTAAAAGCAGTACTGAAAAAGGTTCCTTGCTAAATAATGGACAGGGTTCTTGTCTAAATTATTTAAGACAACAGCCTGAATTTAAAGGTTATAATTACAAGCCACACCCCCACAAACACACTCACACACTGCTCTGTTCAAGCAGGTGCCAATGAAAAAGGAGAGGGAGGGAGAGGATACAGCAAAGAAGAATCTGCTTTGAACCCTGGATTTGAGTCTGGTGGAATCACAGTCCTAGCAAACAGAAGTGTGCCCAGTCACCATGAGACCATACAAAGTCTCCATTATCAATAAGAGGCCTCCCAACCAAGGAATAAAGGGGAAATAAAAAAGAGTATTAATCCAAAATCAAGTATTAAAATAAATCTATATTATGAATCAAAAACTGTTATTAGGTATTTCTTCCAAAGAATAATAAAGTATTAAACCAATACTAAACCTTAAGCTAAGAAAATCAGTTGTATCTCAAATATAAAACAATTCCTATGTAAATATAAATTATAACCAGAAAGCAAGAGTTACAGCTAAAAAATTTACATTTATGTGATTGAGTTCTCATTATAATTTAACCAACAAGAATGGAATGCTAGAGAAGACTCACTTCCCGAGTCCAATGAAAGGGAACACGGCAACGTAATAGCAGACGCAGATGATAAATATGAGCCACAGGGGTAAGGAGAAGTCCTTCACATCAGTTAACTTAATAACTTCACCTGAGAGAAGGAAGGGAAAAGGCTATCCGCATGAATTTCCATACCTAAGTCGAGATGATTTTTCTTTTATCATGTGATTATCCTTTGCATTCAGTTTAAAAGATACTTTTCTCAGTAAATTAGAATAGTTTCTGGGATAACTTAAGACATTAGAAAAAGCAAAACCTAAAATTGATACCTACCTTCCTGCTCCCTTCCAGAACACTCATTGTTTTGCAAATATACTAAGTACAATCAAGAATGTAAATTCTGCCAAAAACGTTTAAGGGGGAAAAAAAATGTAGCCAAAAATTTAGACAAGTGGAAACAGATTTGGAAATAAAAGATAAAAAACATGTATTAAGCATCACTGGGTTTCCAACAGTGCATTAGAAACTTATCTCATTGTACGATAAGCCCCACTTTTCCTGCATTTACACTTACCTGTTTTTCCTTGTTCTTTATGAAGGATTCTTTCTGCTCTCTGATCCAAGTAAGCAAGGACCAAGGCACAAATTAGTGAAAGAATACATGTTATACCCCCTATAAGAAAAATGAAGAGAGATTTTTAAAGAGAACCAGACGGAAGGTTTCTAAAAAGGCAGCATATTACACTGACAGAGAAAACTTAGTATCTAGACACATGTGAAAAGCTTACAGTGACGGTATCAGGACTGATTGGAACGACGAGCACACAGCAAGCACTCAACCAACGACAGTCAGCAGTCGCTATTGCTGCATCATTTCCCACTAAGAGGTTGGAGATTGGAAGGAAAAGACTAGAATGCACCAGTCTAGTCTGTAATGCAGAATACAGACTGAGGAAAGCTGACAACCAGCCAGCAAATTAGTCCCAATTTCTTAATTCAGTCTGAGCACCAATTATTGATGGATGCCAGGAAAACAACTATAAAGGCAAGTCTGATGCTGTGATCACTTCATCTTCCTCCTGATTCCCTCCCACAGTCTGTAACCCCTGCTCCTACCCCCTGGCAGCCTAAAGGCCCACTCCCCTACCACACAGCTCGCTCAGGCTCTCTTTCCTTGAGTATTCTGAGATCACCAAATGCTGATCTCATATCATTAAAGTAAATGAAGATAAAAAAGGAATAAAGTTTACACTTCTCAAGAATTTTAAAAAGAAGCTTAGTAAAACAAATAAATCTCTAACTGTCTGACATAATATGATCCAGTTGAAAAACTGCTAAAATGAGAGTCAGTGGGTTCTACTGCTGGCACTAACAAGCTGAGTGATCTTAGACATAGAACTTAACCTCTCTGGGCTTCAATTTCCCCATCTGTAGATAACAGGCTTTGACTTGATGACAGTACAGGTCTTTTCTGGCTCTAAAATTCTTTAAAATTCTCAAATTCTACATTGTGGAGGGAACTAGAAGGAATACAAGAGTAAGCAAGAGGTTTTAAGTAAGGCAAATGATCTGAGAGGGAGAGGAAGAGAGGAGTCTCCAGACACCAGTTTGCCTGTCTGGGACTACCCCTCCACTGCCCTCTTTTAACCAGGCTTCACCAAGGAATTATAAGGAGTAAAAGATGGCACAGCACATCCACCCCACCACCCCACAGGTCTCTCTAGGGCTCTGCAAGCAACCACCTACACACTGAGGGGCTCACCTGGAAAAGCCCACTGCTCAGAGAAAAAGCACAGGTGGCGAGCCCAGAGGGCCTCACGGGCCTGTCAATGACCTACCCAGTGACCAGCACAGCAGAGCCTCAGCTGAGAGGAGCTGGGGCCAGAAGGGACCTGTACGGTTTTGATCAGACACCCGCAGTTTTACAGAAAAGAAAAATGAGACACAGAAGTTAAACTTCCTTGTCCAAGATGACAGCAGTAGTTAGAGCCAGGACTAGAACCCAGGCTCCGCACTCCCCACCCAGCGGATGTCCTGCCACATCCCATCACCTCTGACTCTGTACCATCCAAGCTCTACAGGCACACTGCCTGAGTCTGATCAAAAGGAAACCATCTCCCTTCTGCTACAAACCAGTACGTACAGTCTGTGTACTCACAGGTCTAAGTTCCCTGATGGTTTCCGAGTTTTCACACACACTCTCTCATCTGCACATCACGACAACACTGAGGCAGACAAGGGGGGACAAGATCCTCCACTTTAAGAAGTGGAAATACAAATACAAACGGGGTGAAGGCTTCGCTATTGCTAATTAGGTCAAAGAACTAGTGAACTGTGCAGATGAAACTCTAACCCACGTCGTCTAACCCCGATTCCAGTGCTCCTTCCTCTGCCACAATACTTCCTATGACATGCTTTCAGAAGAGACAGAACATGGGACATCAAGATTCACTAACCAATTAGAAGTGTGACCCCCAGGGTTGTGTGACCAGCAGAACCCAACAAAGCTTCAACCTTAGAGTACAGCCATCCCATGAGGTTCATGTTCACTGTACTCCCCTGAAAGAAAAAGAAAAAAAAAAAAAATCAACAAAATTTTCATTTATCTCTCTGCCCTATTTGAAAAAAAGGATATGAGGTGGCTTAGAGAAATAGGTACAAGTAAAATCCAGATTAAACAGGAGACAAATTTTTTAAAAAACACAAGGAAAAAACTAACCAAAGCCATAGATAAGATTACTACACAAAAAATACCAATTTATAGAAAATGCTAGTATTCAAAATAGTATAGTACATTTGTAACTTCCTAGTAGCCAAAACAAAAATGAAATATGACAAGTTACAATATTCACAGGGTACTAAGAAAAAAATAAACCTTAGCTCAGAAAAAGCACAGCTTTTCCTGGTACTGACATCTGAAAAAAAAAGTCATCTTCTGAATGTCCGTAAGACAGTAAAAGTTATTATAGTAGATAATACCCTCTCATTTATTCATTCATTTAGCAATTACTGAGGCCTGATTACATGTCAGTCACTGTTCTAGATACTGGGGATATAATAAAGAACAAAACAGAATAACTTCCAGCTCTCACAGAGTTTACACTTTAGTGAGGTAGAAGAGATAAAATATGTAGTATATTAATCGCAGTAAGTGCTTAAAAAAGTAAAGAAAAAATAAAATAGGGGAGGAGAATATAAAGGGGTGGAGGCCTCATTGAGAATGTGACTTTGGAGTAAAACTTGAAGGAAGTTAGCTGTGAGGAGATCTGGGGGAAGAGCACTCCTGGCAGATCCTTCTGTAGCACATGTACACAGCCAGTGCACAGGCCCCGAGAGGAACAGCAAGGAGGGCAGAGCCTGGAACAGCACAAATGAAGAGGGGAGGGGAGGAGATGAGGTCCCAGAGAGGAAATGGTGGGGAGGCGGGCTCTACGCAATAATCAGGACTTTGGCTTTTATTCTGCGTGCCATGGGAAGCCACTGGGGTTTTGAGCAGAGAAGCAACACGATCCTGTATGCTTTAACAGACTCGCTCTGGCTGTTATAGTCAAAGTAGGCAACCAGTGGGGACAATGGCAGAAGCAAGGCCATCGGTTAGGGTGCTACTGCAAGAATCCTGAAGAGAGATGAGCACTCTTCGACTAGGGTGGCTAGCAGTTGGCGCGGCGGGGAGTGGTCAGAATATGGGTATATTCTGATGGTAAAGCTAACAGATCCGCTAACAAAAAATATGTGGAGTGGGGGGGGGGGGGAAGAAGGGGGTATTTCAGGATGACACCAAAGATTTTGCCTGAGTAACCAGAAGAAAAGAGGTGCCCGTAACTGAGCATGAGCGAACCACCGTCTGAGCTGGTGTGGGGGACGGCAGGTATAACGTCGAGAGCTGCGTTCTGTCACGTCAGGTTTGATGCGTCAACTAGACATCCAAGTGGAAATGTCAAGTAGGAAGCTGCATCTATGGGTGTGGAATTCAACGGAAAGGCCTGGACAAGCGATACAAATTCAGGAGCAAACACGTGCTATTTAAAACTTCAAAACTAGACAAGATCACCAAGAAAGTGGGTCAAAGAGAAGAGAAGACACCCAATGACCAAGCCCTGGGGCACTCCCACATTTACCAGTTGAGAAGATTGAGAGGGAACCAGCAAAAGAGGGAGAGGCGGAGTGGGCAGAAAGGCAGAAGGAGAACTGCGGGACTGCAGCGTCCTGGACCCAGATGAGAAATCAGGAAGGGGAATGCCGACCGTGCCAAATGCTGCTGACCGGTCAGACACTGAAGACTGAGAAACAAACACGTTCACAACAGTCTGCTCACAGCCAACACGGCAGCAAATTTCACATGGCTATTTCCTACAAAACGCTAGCCAACGGCATTTCTCGGACGAGCAATAAGGTAAATGGAGACCTACTGGAAACTTTCCCCAATATCATCAAAAATATAAGCTCCTCAAAGACAGGGATGTCGCCTTAAATAATCCTTTAATTCTAAAATGCCTAACATGACCTGGCTTGGCAAGTGTTCAATAAATATTTGTCAAAATAATGAGTTTAAAAGTAACAAATTACCAAGAAAAATCTAAGCATGCTGGACTTCCAACCCCCAGCTAAGACCTGAATAATAAGAAAAGTGAGAAGTCCATGGCCTGAAGGTGTAATGAAAACAGCTCAAGAGTCTAAACGCGACAAACTCACAGCTCAGGCAAGAGAAAAATCACGGAGAGGGAATGCCAGAGCCTGTGATCATTCTGAAGATGCGCAGGGATGAGAGAAGTGCAAAGAGACGAACTCCCTCTACCCCAGCAGCTCTGTAATGGAATCTCTGGGTCTCCTGCATCTCACAAGGACCCTAACACACAAAGCAGATAAAGCGGAGCCTCCCTGGCTGCCCGGACCAGCTCACTCCACCTCTTCCTCCTCAGGTCTCCCCACCATTCCAGCAACCACACTCCGCACCCCAGAACCCCTGAGATTCCTTTCTAAAAACTGAGGGCTCCTCAGAACACAGCTGAATGGATCCTAACGAACTTGTGTCCACACAGAAAAGAACCTGAAGACCGCTAGTGACCACAATGGCATCACTGAGAATGAGTCTTGCTCAACTGATCCTATTTCCTTCTGTGAGAAGTTATTAGACAGCAAGATCCACAAACTGCCACAGACATATCTTGACTTGCACAAGATACATAATGAAGTACTCAGAAGATCTTTGTGGATAAAATTTAGAAAATATTGGAAACCACGCTAGTTATCAAAGAACTACAAATTAATATTTAGGTATTTCCTATCAAATTGATAAAATGACTTTTTTAAAAGTAATAATAGCCTGTATATCAAGTTACAACAAAAAGAATCTTCTCATATCCCATGGATGGGAATGTGAACATCTCTGAGAGGATAATCTGGAAATATGTCTCAACAGTCCTAAGAAACCCTAATAAACCCTCTGACTCAATAATAATCCCACTCCTAGCAACCTAGCCTCAGAAACAAGCAGAGAGGCAGACAACTTTCAGAGTGTCACACAACAGCACTATTTATAAGTGAAAAATGAGAAAGAATCTACATGTACAAAAATATAGAAATGTTATATATGTAACACACATGTGCTATATGTTTCATATGATAATACAGTACATTAAAAACTTTTTGTACTGGATTTCTTCTTCCCTAAGAATACATTAAAAGCATTTTTACGCCATCTATTAGTCTTTGAGACCTTGATTTTTAATGCCAAGGATTTTTTTAAAAACCTCTATTCATAGGAGTTTATGAGGAAAAAACCTAAAGGAGTTTGGGACTGTCAAAACACCTTATAGGTTGCATTAATAAAAGCATAACGTTGTTCCCCTCGGTACCCTCTTTCAGACGAAACCTGCAACACCACGATCATTTCCAGGTTCCAAATGCTGGGAGCATTGATGGCCTGCGGTAAGTCCACAGAGGCGTGAGCACCATGGTCAGGGAGCTGAGACGCATGTCATGTGGCTTAGCCAACCACAGGAAATGAGCATGTCTGACCAAGAATTTCAGAGCTGTCTTCATAAGCAAAGTGCTGGCACACAGCAGAGGAAATAAATGCGAACTAGAGGGCAAACGTCAGAGCCATAGGTAAATCCACTGGCACAGGCAGACCTCCCCTCTATGCGAGGCTGAGCCTCACCAAGGTAACTGACGTAGAAGACTGCCCATCACACAGCGAGCTTCCACCCACGGGAAATGTGCACGCGGAGCCTGGACAACCACATGTGAGGACTTGCACAGCAGGCATGCCGAAAATGGGTAAAGAAATTAGACAACAAAACCTGGAAGATCCCCCTCACTGCCCAGGTTCTCTAAACTAATGAATACTCAATTAGCCATTCTACACCCTTTCCTAAGTGAAATAAGGTTAGAAATGCCTTAACTAAAGTAAAGTAAATGCTATACCATGGTCTAGAGAGATATATAAAAAATCAGTACCTAATTTATCATACACAAACACACTTTATCCTGTAATTTTTAAGAGATAATTAGAAGATTCAATCTTTTGGTTCCTATTTGGCTTCATACTTACAATTCTAGCCATGCTAAGTTGGAGTCCAAACACCAAGTTTAATTCTTTGCCTTTAAACCAACTCACAGCATATGTATTCTGGGCAACTGCTAAGGACTCCCCACCAATCCTAAAAATGAAGAAAGGAAGAAAAAGTCACAGCTTTTCAAGAAATACCACAGTTAGCAATGTAGCAGGTTTAAAATTTTGACACCCCTCCTATCAAAAGATGAGGTCTATGCCCCTCCTCTGAATCTAGGTGGGACTGTGATGGCTTCAACCAACAGAATACGGTGGAAGTGGCACTGTGTGACACCAAGGCTGGGTCGTAGAAGGGGACAGCTGCCTTTTCACTCAAACACTCGCACGTGGAGCCCTGAGGTGCCTGGTAAGAAGTCCCACCACCCTGAGTTCGCCACACTGAGAGAAAGCCACGCCACACAGAGAGGCCACATCTAGGTGCTGCAGCCGGTAGTGCCTGTCTTCAAGTCATCCCAGCCCAGGCACAGACGTGTGAGTCCCGGAGCTTTCAGAAGACTCCAGCCCCCAGCCTTCCACAGATCTTCCCAGCTGAGGCTCCAGACATCAGGCACACGGACAAGTAGTCCCTGCTGCACCCTGTCCAAATTCCTGACCCACAAAGCCAATGAGCACAGGGTAACGGCGGCTGTATACTGTTCAGTCTTGGGGAAGCTGATACGCTGCAATAAGGAGTCTGAGTTACCACATCACCACGTGTGCTATATAAAATGTTCAGTGGTGAGAGTGGTCCATACTTTGTGAAAGCACAAAAATTCACACTTTTCAGGCAAATACCATCCACGCTCAACATTATCCTACCGCCTGGGTTTTTCTTTTCCTTCTGTAAGTTCTACATATTGACCCTTCCCTGCTCCAGGCCTTCAGTGAGGCGCCTCCTCTCCTCCGCATCCTAACACTGAGCCCTCCTCTCACCACTCTGTCCTAGTCCAAAAACAGGTCCCCTCTCTCCTATCAACCCAAATCCTATACTGACGTCAAGGCCCACTTCGTCCAAGAGGCCACTTCTGACCACACTTCCATCTCTGAATCCCTTTCACATTTTTATATAGATTTTGTTTTTTCTCTCTCACTTAGAGCACTTTTTGGGGTATGTCACATATGTCTACATGTCACTGGTACCTGTGTAAAGCATGAATAAGTTATGTCATCTGCGTCCTTCAGGGCAGGAAGCCCGAAGCTGGACTCAGAACGGGCTCACTGAACAGACAAGAAATTCATGAGGAGCAATCAGTCTACTGGTATTCTGCTCATTCAAGCTGCTTCAACAGGGTTCAAAAAGACCTGCACCTCACCCACTAAGACAGAGCAAAACGTTCGTGAGTCACCAGCCTAGAAATCGACGGTCTGTAGTTTTCCAAATGAGGTTTAAATCAGTCTTCAACATAACAGAAAACACCCAGGAAAAATGTCATTCCTGGGGAACTATTTAATATTCCAGCCCCACATAGAGTCAACCACGCCCACTCAACAATGTTGCTTACTTTAAAGGAAAATTAAGACAACTAATGAACAGGGGATTTGAAGTAGTTCTCCAGAAGAGACAATATTTTTTGTAAATCTGTAATAAACTGATAGATGAACACTAGAACAATAATATATTAGGATAAATGAAATTATGCATAACTTACCCAAACACAAACCTTCCAAATTCCATCAGCCAAAAAGCATTAAATATTCCACCCAGAGCAAAAACAACCTATGATGAAGAATCAATGAAAAAATAAATTCAAGGTATTCAAGAGAAATAGTAACTTACGATGAATCACAACTTCCATGATGGTTTTAATATTCCCTCTTAATAAATCTGTGAAATCTAAATATTGTTGTTCATCTGTCTGAAGGCTTAAAATGGACTTGCATTATGCTACATGGGCACCTGTGGACCCTGCTTAATTAAGTCAGGCATTCATTAAACACATCTTTGCTGGTGGAATTAGACAAGAACTCAAAAGTCACTGCCACATAATCAATGAACGTTCAGGCCTTTCTTACCTGTCCAATGCAAACAAAGCAGCTAAAAATAATGGTGCCCCATCTGTTAGAGAGAGAGAGAATAAATTAAGAGTATGTCACCAAGTCTTTCAGTAATAATTCACTTCAGTTTTCTTTGACCCCTCTGCATTCCCTCCAAGGAAAGAAAAGTGAAGTGCTGGTCTGCCCCTGAAGCCAGCAGCTTTCCTAGACCAAATGCTAATCTACAGAAGTCTCGACTTCTCAGGGGATTCCAGAGGCTTCAGTAATGGCATATGTTAGTTTAAGCCATTATCATCTCTTTAAAAAAACTTATTAGATAATCTCTAAGAAATTTCCAAGGTTCCCATTTAAAAATGGACATTATAAAATTTCTACTAAGTTTAGGATTGATTCCAAGGAATTCTAGGTTAAGTGGTTATAATTCTTTTTTTTTTTTTTTTAATTTTATTTATTTTTTTTCCCCAAAGCCCCAGTAGATAGTTGCATGTCATAGCTGCACATCCTTCTAGTTGCTGTATGTGAGACGCGGCCTCAGCATGGCCAGAGAAGTGGTGTGTCGGTGCGCGCCCGGGATCCGAACTCGGGCCGCCAGTAGCGGAGCGCACGCACTTAACCGCTAAGCCACGGGTCCAGCCCTAAGCCACGGGTCCAGCCCTGGTTACAATTCTTGATAACTAAAAACTCTTTTTAAAAGGACAAATACTAACCATGTTAATACAATTGCAAATATGCCTCCTCTAACATTCTACACTTTGAATATCTGATTAACATTTCCCCAGAGTAATAACATGCCAGTATTAGAAGAGTCCTTAAAGATTATATGAGTAAACCGTCTTCTGAAACTCAAATCCCTCTCAAGATCCTTGTGAACTGTCATACCACATTCTATTGAAAGCTCTCTAGCACTGGAAAACTGACCACAGTCCCAAGGCAATTCATGGCCCCTCCTGTCAACCTGACCAAGCAAAGTCTTCATATACCAAGTGGAATCTGTCCCCATGAAGTTTCAGGCTAATTCTATCCCTTTAGCCCAAGCAAAATCAATTTAATTCCTCCTTTAACTCTTCAAAATTTTTAAAAGTTAGTCCCCAAGTCTAAACACTTGCAGTTTCTTCAATTCTTTTCCATCAGACATGGTTGGAAAATCCTTCATCATTTTGCCCTCTGCCTTCTGAAAATATTCCCAGTCTACATTCCTCTTAATAACACACACATAACCACAAGGATGAAAAGTGACAAAGCTTAATACTGTTATTCCTTCCTCAGCATCTAATAGAAGTTATCACAAAAAGTTTGATGTCCAAGGAAAGGCAGAAAGAGAAAATCCCACTGGGGCCGGAAGAGGCAAATACTACATATGTGCCAAATACTGTACCTCCATCTCTCCCCAACCTTGTAAGGCAGGAATTACTACCCTTATTTTACCAATGAGTAAACTGAAGCTCAGGAAGCTAGGAACAGCTCCGAAGAGCCAGGAAGTTGAACAAGTAGCAGCAATGGGATTCAGACCCTGGTTTGCTTGATCCCAAGTGAGGGTATCATTCACCTTTAGATAACTGAGTTACCTTGTTCCAGGAGCAGCATTTACTTGTCCCAACCTTAACTGAAATACCAAGTTTCAAAAACCAATTCCAGAGATATTAAAATCCTAAAAACATTAATAAAGCAGATTATTGCAGTCAATTCAGTTTATTCAGTTCTTTCTAGAAATACCTTAACCTAGTTCTGTGTTTTCCTAATAATCAGGTTTTACCCATAGGTGAGATTTTTTTCAAGCTTACCGTATTCCAAATACTCGGTCTATCAAAAAGCCACCAAAGAAACACAACACTACATTGGGCCAAGAATACCAGGCATACAGCAGCATGAATTTCGTGGTATTCACCTGCATATCCTATATGGAAAGAAAATAAAACTATTTTTTTCCAAACAGTTAAGTTTAGCAACTAACAAATGAAAACATTCTTTCTGTGTAGGGCAGGAGTTTCTTCATCATTTGTGTTCACTAATTGCTTTGAGAATCGCGTAACAGCTATGGCCCGACTCAGAAAAATGGTCACACCTGGGAACTCCTTGCGTCTGCACGCCATTTCAGAGGCTTCATGGATCAGATCCCTTCATCAATCAGATCCCTCACTACAGGACCACCTCCAGCCACATCTGCCAGTATCCTCTCTATTCTTATTCCCCATATACCACCTGCACTGGCATTCCCTCAATTGGAAAAGGAGAATCCTAGCCTATCCTTACCCTCCCCCCACTAACTCCTATCTTTTTTCCCTTTCATTCTAGAATGTGAAGGACCAATCTATGTATTTCTCCCTGTCCAAAGGTAAAAAACTTACAAAGAAAAAAACTATCTAAATACACAAGAAACTGTAAACATCAAATATAATTTTACAAAACCAGACTCAAAATACGGACATGGACAATCCTCTGCAATCAGTACCCACATTTAATAAATGAAATAACAAAAACGTATTTAAGAAAGCAAAAGGCTATCTTACCAAATCATTTGTCATTCGGACGATTACACAATGGAAGAGTGAAATGCAAACAAAAATCTGCTAATACTTTTTGGCAATATTGTGGAAATAGCACTTAATTCTCTAAGGTGTGAAACAATATCAAGTTACAAGTGCTATAAATGAATTCTTTGTGGCCACTCCAACTCAAGAACACTCCTTGCTCTGCATGCAGATTTGGTGGCTACAGATGTTAAAATGGATTCATTGGACAATGTTTCAGACTAGGCAACCAGAGACCTGATGATGCCTCAAAAGCTACACCTGCTCCAGAGTCAACGAAAGAAACAAAGGTGAAAAAGCAACTTACCCCTTTAATCTGAGTCTGAAGGGCAGCAGGATTATCATAGCAAAAATAGCTGCCTAGAAAAAGGAAGAGCAAATATTTTATAATAATACTATCCACACAAAAGTTTCAAGCTGCAATTACTACTCAAACGGTGATTTTAAATGTTTACACTAGGGGCTTGAGGACCGACACTGTGCAAACTTTTTTGGACGACTTCCTTGTCCATCAATATTTTCTAAGTTGTAGCCAAATACCCAGAGAAAACATGCCAAATCATTACAAATTATTAGTGTGCATATACAAGAAATACTGGGGACCTGGATGAAGAAGTTAATCAACAACTAACTGTTCTTTCATCTTACTTTCATCATGCTTCATAATGTCTATTATTAGCATCTTCATGAAGCAGCTATATTTTCCTGATTTAAAGCTACCAAAACACACACACATACTAGAAATTTCACAAACATCCTCAGTAGTTTCCTAGAAATGTTACCTGAAGTCACCACTTATCTTGAGAGCAGAAGAATGGAGCTTAGCTACTCTGACGAGACCGACACTTGAAACAGGAGTTCTAATTCTACAAAAAGAATACCCAAGATCAAATAATTTAGGGAATACAGCACCAGGAATAAAGAAAAACAAAGAGTTCTAACGGATTAAATTAAAGCATAATAATAATGTCTGTTGAGGGGTAAGAAAGAAGCGGAGAGAGGTGTGATATTCATGCACTCAGATTTATTTTTAAAGTACCATAACTGACAGATTTTTGGTATGCCACAAGATAATAGTGCCTCCATTCCTCCACTCACTCCCTCTAAAAGTACATATTAGAAGCTGCTGGTTCAAAAGAAAGAAAATTGTCACTAGAAAAGCATGAATCTGGCTTGTGAAACCCAGGCAGGTAACTATAATTTACCAAAACCAATCTGTCTGCTTCAGTAGTGGCAATCTTAAGTGTTTTGTGTTGTTCTTGTTTTTTGTTCCTAAACCTAGAAATTTGTGATTCCTGTTTTAATCGCTGTAAGGGATACCAACACCATACTTCAAGGCTAATGGATAGGCATCATCTTTCCACAAAGAGGGTGGGGGGGACAAAAAGAGTTGCTAAGAAACTAAAACCCAAAGTATCCCTCACCCCTACTGACACATTCCATCACTAGCATCAAGTTATCCACCACAATGTTCCTAAACCTGCTGATGACACTGGGTCCAGTGAGCCCCCCTAAAAACACATTATTACTTTCATACCAAACTAATACTGACATTAGCATGTCGCTGGAACATAGGCAGATGTTTTAAAAGTTATCTGAAGAAACTGCCTTCACAGTCATCAGATTTCGTAACTGAAACCAAACACCGCCAAGCCTGCCACAAGTCCAGTCCAGAACGACTGTTGCACGGCGACAGAGAGGAAGAGGACACATCTCCTCACTGAAGCTATCACAGACACACACACACACGTTCCCAGAGAGACACGTAGACAGGACTACCAACAAATTATTCGTTAAAAAAAAAAAACTGGTTTTTTGGGGGGGGAGAATGGGGTAGTTACATCTTCCTGAATTCCTTCTGAACAAAGTGTCCTGAGAAAAACCTTGACAATAGGGATTCCTTCACATCTACGGCCGCAAGGGGCGAGGTGCTAGCCTCGAGACTTCCCGGGGAGCAAAGGAGCGCGACAACCTCGCCCAGCTCGGTCCCCTGACCCCCACCTTTGGGACGCCGAATAGCTAGCACGTGCACAGGCTTGGACAGGGTCGCGAAGGGAAGCCCAGGAGCTGGAGGCAGAGGCTGCGCTCCGGCCGCGCGGCACCCGTGCGCTCAGTGCGGCCCTCGAGCTCCGAGAGACACCGGGAATTCCTGATCATCAGCCCACCCCGCCCGGCCGCCGGCTCACCGAAGCCTAGGAAGCACATCAGCAACAGCACCAGAAGCCGGTGCGCCAGGCGGCTGGGGTCGCAGAGGGCCGGCAGCGCGCCGAGCGCCCCTCCGCCCGCCTCGTCCGGGCCGCCTGCCAGCAGCGCCCGCGCTTCCTCCTCCTCCTCCTCCATGGGGCCCGCGGGACACCGACGAGCGAGGGCCGCTGCGACGCCGGGAGGAAGCGCCGCAGCCCGAGGCCAGCGAGGACTGTGGTCACGTGACCGCGGGCGCCCACGTGACGCCGCGGAGGCCACGCCGGGCCACGCTCACGTGAGCGGCCGTGGGCACGTGGTGGGCGGGGCGGGGAGCGGCCAGTTGGCGCCGGCGGACTGCGGGGCGGCGAGAGTCGCCGGGCCGCGTGGTGGTCCGGCCTGCGCCGGGGCGGGGAGCGCGCGCCGCCCCTCTCCGCGCCGCGCTGCCCCGCGTAGCCGCTGGCTGCTCCTAATGCTGCCTGGATTGAGCACCGTCTGATGCGTCCAGACGCCTGCCGGCTGCCGGGAATGCAGAATGGAATAAGACCAACTCTCGGACCTCAGAGAGTTCACGGTTTAGTTGGAGAGAGCGATAGAAACTGACACTTTAAAGAACAGTATGGTGAATGGATGAATGTGGTGAGAACAGCGGCTGAAATAGCACTGAATTCTATAGAAATGGCTGGGAAAGGCATTTGGGAAGGGGAGAACAGGTGGTCAGTTTAACCAGCTTTGGGGGAGGTGGCGGCGGAGGGGGTGGGGAGTGCTGGAGCTCCTTGAAGTTGATACCTAAACTGGAGTAGTTAGAATGAGCCGCTCACGGCGCCTGTTAGAGGGGGTGGGTTCTTGGGAGGCGGTGGTAGGAGGGATAATAAAGATGCAGGCCTGCAACAGAACGGCATGTGTGCGTGTTTGTATTGATCTGGGAAGGAGAGAAGGAACTCGAGTAGAAACACTAAACCTGTGCCATGAGGAGCTATGAAAGGATTTCGAGCAGAGTAGCAATACTGCAAGATTTGTGATTTTAAAAATTCAATCTGGCAACACAACCCGATCCCTCGCTTTCTGAGAGTCCCCAGGCTTTGCGCACAGAATTTTGAGGGTGACAAGGCGAGAGGTTGAACAACCGTGAGGATTATTAGCTGCTAGGAAGATTAGAGGCTTCAAAGGCCTATATTGGGGAAATGGGGATGGAGCAAAAGGGACAGAACAAGTATTTAGCAGGTGAGATGGGATGACTTTGTGAATAATAGTCTATGAGGTCTGAAAGAAAGACTTGAGCTTGTCTCCCAGGTTTCTAGCGTGGGCCCCCAATAGAGATCAGAACATTGGAAGAGAAGAGAGGGAGGGTGTCGGAGGAGGTAAGTCATGTGCAGCGCGTTGCCTTTACGATGTCTGTACATGACGTCTCCCCTTTCCACCTGCCGTTCTCTCTTCAGCTCCCCAGGAGGAGCCCCCAGTCTACTGGAACTGTCTTGCCAAGATGACTAACAACTCCGTCTTCCGAACTACAGTTCGGAATCCTCTTTTTACTCCACTTCTCAGTATCAGTTGATACAGCCCTATGATACTACGCTTGCCTTGTTTTCCTCCTAGTTTACTGGGCTCTCATTTGCTGTCTCGTTTGTCAGCGTCTCTTCTCCCTGAATTCTAAATGTTCACGTGCTCCAAGGCCCAGTCCTGGGCTCTCTTCCACTCATCCAGTCCCATAGCTTTCAATATCATCGGTATCTCTGTGCTGTCCACTAGGTAGCCATCACTGCGTGTGGCTGTTGAGCGCTTGGAAATGTGGCTAGTCCTAATTGAGATGTGCTGTAAGTGTAAAATACCAGATTTCAAAGACTTAGTATGGAAAAAAGAATGTAAAATAACTTAATTTTTGTACTCATTACTTAAAATGATAATATTTACATATATGGGTCAAATAGAATATATTAAAATTAATTTCATCTGATTTTACTTTTTAATGTGGCTGCTAGAAAATTTTAAATTACATATATGGCTTGCATTCTATTTCTGTTTATCAGAGCTGATTTATATGCTGATGCCTCCAAAATACCTCCATTCCAGACTCCTTTCTTGAGCGATAGGACTCCTATTCCAACTGCGTATTAGACATCTCCACACGGAAGACTAATAGGCATCTCAAATCTCACATATCCAAACAATCCTTGCGTTGTCTCACACATGCTGAACCTGTGCCTCCCTAAGTCTCTCCAGTGGAGTAAACGGCACAGCTCTCCATCAGTTATAGCCGCGGGCCAGCACTCATCCTTGATGGCATGCTTATCTGTCTCCCACGTCTACTACACCTTTGGAGTTGTCTTTTCAACTTTCCTCCAAAACATCTGAATCCGTGCATGCTCTCCACCACTGCTGAGCTTAACAGACTGATATCACCTGCACAACTGCAACAGACCTTTACATTTTTTTATTTTGCTTATTTTTAATGAGAAATACACCTGATATGACATTCAAACAATACCAAAGAGAATAGAGCTCAAAGCAAGTCTTTTCTGCTTCCCTATCGCCAGTAGTCTTGGGAAGTAATCACCGTTCTAGATTCTCCTGTATCCTTCCAGGGCTATCACAGTTTTTTTCCTTTCAGCCCAACAATGTAGCCTAGAGATTGTGTTCATTTTCTTTAACAGATGCAAAGGATTCTGTTGTGCGGGTGTATTTATTTAGCGAGTCCCCTATTGGTGGACATTTAAGTTGTTTGCAAACTACTATACTGAGCACTGCAAACTGCTATACTGAGCACGACAATGGTTGTTTCACACATGTTGACTTTACCTATAGGAGAAATTCCTAAAAGTAGAATTGCTGGGTCAAATAGGTATACTTTTAAAATTGTGTTAGGTAGTGTCAAATTGTTGTCATTAAAAATTGTACCAGTTTACACTCCCACCAGCTGTAGGGAATAACCTGTTTCCCACACCATCCCTAATCAAGCTTGTTATCAGATTTTTGGTCTTCACAAATTTAATACATGAAAAATGGCTATCAGTCTCAATTTGCATTTCCATTATACTGAGTGAAGTTGACCCTCTTTACACAATTAATAGCCACTTATATTTTCTAGGAATTCTCTTCATATCCTTTGCGCATTTTTTCAGATGAATCATTTTCTTTCCCTTATTAATGAAATAGTTCTTTGTCCGTGGTGTGAGTTGCAAATATTTCTTTTGACTATGTTTATGGTATATTTTTCCATATAGTTTTTTAGTGTACATGTGTCTATTTTTTTCGTAACTCCAATGTTTGCTTCCCCCACAAGATTTTCAACAGCCTTACCTGGGTTCCCTACTTCCACTGTCACATTTCTATGATGTGTTGACCACACAGCAGTCAGAATGACCTTTTCAGGTTTAGATCTTTTTAGTTAGTTTTGGCAAAGGATGATGAGACAACCATCCAATATCTGAACTGAAAAAGACGTACTGGATTTATTGTGTACTCTAGTAAGGGAGAGCTATACGAGTAGGCACAGTCTCACCAAGCAGAGCAGGCTGCTGATCCTCTATAGCGCTTTTGGGAATTACGGAGTTTAGAGATAGGTGCATTTGGGAGGCAGGAACGTTGGACATCATCTGTCTAATTGCAGTAGCTGATACCTCCTGTTCAATGTTAGGTAGCGGTGGAGATAGGGTGCATTCTTGCCTGGACCTGGGATAAATACTAAACAAACAAGTGCAGGAGAAGGGAACGCTCTTCCTCACAGCGGAAAGCCAACTCGTAGATGTAGAAGGTGTGATGAAGTACAGTGTCACCATGTGGCAACCGTCATAGGGATTGATGCAGGCAAGAATCATCAGTAGTTCCTGAAATTAATGGTGAAAGTTTGCAGAGTGATAAGATAATATACGTAGTCTCAAAGTATCTCTTCACAAGACATTATTAACGATAAAGAGAAAAAAGTGCAGAAACCTGGCATGCACCACCTTAACCAAGTGATCAAATCAATATTAACCAGTATTGAGACAAACTGACATCACATGACTCCTGATATTATGCTCTGAGATGAACGCACCCCTCTGGTATACCCGCCAAAAGTTCATGCCTAAATCTAATCACGAGGAAACATCAAACAAACCCAAGTTGAGGGACATTCTACAAAATTCCTCAAAAAAGTCAGTGTCATAGAAGACTAAGGAACTGTTCCTGATGACAGCAGACCAGACAGACATGACCACTGAATGCAACACAGGATCCAGGATTTCTTTAGCTATAAGGGACATTACTGGGACAGTTGAAAAAATCTGAATAAGGTCTATGATTAGATAGTTTGTACTCTATCAATACTAATTTCCTGATTTTGACTATTATACTGTGGTTGTGCAAGAGAAAATGCTTCATTTTAGAAAACACACATTGACTGAGAAATTCAGAAGCCAAGGGACAACATACCTGCAAACACCTTACTCTCAAATGGTTTAAAAATGTGTGTACACACACGTATACACAGATGTATGTATACAGAGAGGGGAAGAGAACAAGTATAAAGTGTTAACATTTGGGGGTTCTGGATACAGGATGTGTGGGAATTCTTTGTAGTAGTTTTACAACTTTTCTGTAAGTCTGAAGTTACGTCCACCAGACCCACTCCTGAGAGCCTTGTGCATCTTTGTATCTCAAACACTAGTACAGGGCCCAGCTTGAAAATTGCTTCAGTGAATGGATGAGTCCCTTAAATCAGGAAAGGCTTGTACCAGCGAGTGGTGTAACAAGGAAAGCTTACTGCCTACACAATAAACTTGCTCATTCTAGCTGCACTGACCTATTACTAGTCAAGCCAATTGCACTTATTTTGTAATTACTGAGTGATTGGAAAACGAGGATGACTGAGGTGTAGGAATAGACTTTATCATCTGGACACAAGGCCTTTGGGTTGACCAGTCACTTTCACTGGTGTGGGGATGGCTGCAGCCTCTGGAGCAAAGTTAACCCCACAGACAGAAAAGAGGATAGGGTTCTCTCAAAAATCTAAGTTCTAGATTCAGCCTTCGCGTGCCTTTACCTCCTACCACTCCTCCTGAGGGCCATGTGAGTCAAAATATCCTCCTTATCTCCGTCCTGTGTGGAAGCCAAGCTGGAAACCTCACAGTCCTCTTCAGTGCCTTCTCTCCCTCCCTGGCCTGCCCCCACCAGCAACAAAAGGGAGGAGTGACTGATTCTGCTC